GAAAGATGAATGTGCTCCCTAACAGAGTGGGGGTGGGGAGAGATGAATGTAGTTCCTAACAGGGTGGGGATGGGGAGAGATGAATGTAGTCCCTACTAGGGTGGGGTGGGAGAGATGAATGTAGTCCCTAACAGGGTGGGGTCAGGGAGAGATGAATGTAGTCCCTAACAGGGTGGGGTCAGGGAGAGATGAACATACCTCAGTTAATACCACTTGTACTGCACTGACAACCTTACCGGCATTAGACTGTGAAATCCCCTGAAAGAAATTAAAAGCAACGTCTTAATTGATCTAACAAAATACTGAATTCCAATTGGCTTACCTAAGTGGTAATCCCAACCAATCAGATTGAATGAACAATGAAACCCAGATTTAAGAGACACTACTCATTGGATGTCATAATTTCTTTAAGATGCACTTTTCATCTATATAAGATATTTTCAAAAGGTATAGGACAAGTTCTCCTTCTTCTCTAACTCTGCAGACACAACACCCTAGTAACGAGTGAGATGTGATTGGCTGGAGGTCAATGTATGATAATGATTTTCATCATCATCATCATCATCATCATCTATGTTTGTGTGGCACCTAGGGCCAACACCAAGGACCTCATGATAATTATTTTGCTCTCTCCAGATTGGATTTTTTTTAATTCTAAATTTTATTCAAGTGGTAAGTGTGTCCACACTGTAATTTTCTTAAAAATAACTTGATTATAAACACGTGCACCACACCTCTCACTCGACACAACAATTCCAACAACAGCAGCACACAACAACACATGCTAAAATCCTGTTTGCTATGATAATCCCATTCAAACTATTTCACAAACAGCCTTACTCTACACATGTACTCTGCAGGGTATTAAACTTCTGGGTATACCTCAGGTTGTTTTTCTTTTTTTCTCTTAGAAGCCTTGAGGTACTGCTTGTAATGCCAGCGTAACTCTTTTAAGATTTCCTGATCTTCTGTCTCATTGGACAATGGTTTTGAACTATCACTGCTTCTTCTTTTGCTTGCTGGAATAAAAAATACATAAACACAATTAATTTTTTGATATTTCCCTCCTTCCTTCTCTATCAAGAACCTTACCTCCCTCCTTCATTCTCTCCTTCACTACCAACCTATCCTCTCTCCTCCTTTCTCTCCTTCACTACCAGCCTTTCCTCCCTTCTTCCTTTTCTCCTTAACTACCAACCTTCCCTCCTTCCTCCATTCTCTTCTTCACTTACCATCCTTACCTCCCTCTTTTCTTCTCTTCCTCAACAGTTGCTTTGTTCTTTCTTCTCTTCTACTTAATTTCTTTCATTCCCTTTACTCCCTTCCCTTCCTCGCCATTGTTTCCTCCCTTTTGTTCTCCCTTTCTCTCTTTCTCCCTTCACCCAATTACTCATCTCTCTATACCTCTTTTCTTCCTCCACTCCCTCCTATTCCACCATCCATCTTTCCTTTCTTCCATCCTGCCTCTACTCTATACCTCTTTTCTTCCTCAACTCTCTCCCAACCCACCATCCATCCATCTTTCCTTCCTTCCATCCTGCCTCTACTCTATACCTCTTTTCTTCCTCAACTCTCTCCCAACCCACCATCCATCCATCTTTCTTTCCTTTCATCCTGCCTCTTCTCTATACCTCCTTTTTTACTCAACTCTCTCCCAACCCAGCATCCATCCATCCATCCATCTTTTCTTCCATCAATTTTTGATTCCTTCCATCCTGCCTCTTTTAATACTCCAGTTTTGAGTTCTCTGCTGCTCGATCAGAGTTAGTCTCGATTTTGTGGATAAATATTCACATGTTCCAGTGAAGGTCCATCAAGTTTCAAAGTGTTTGTGTTGTTGAAGTTGTACATTCTTTACTTTACAGTTGATATTTTTTCAGACACTGATACGAGGCTAACCCTGGGTAAATGAGTTTGTAATCAAGGAACACAGCGGTAATTTTGGGCTCAAAAATGGTCCATTATGCCAAAAAATAGTCCTTTCCATACCCAGTACTTGCACAATGAGTGCTTTTTTCTAATCGTCAGGTTGCTAATTTTAGACTATTAATTTAGAACTGAAATTTCCATTCCATTCCTTTTTTAGAGCATTCTAAAGTACTCCTTCCATCCCTAGAATGTTGTTCAAGATATACACACAAATACCACCAATATTATCTTACCTGGAGTATTGGGTAAGGACACTGCATTATTGTTAGCACATGGAGCAAGATTTTCCTTCTGTTGACCTTGAACAGTGTCTTCAGTTAACTGAGAAGTCGTCTCTTCTTCTTTATAAAACTCAATCCCCTCAATTCCAGACAAGGACCTTGATCTCTTATGCAAACTGTTCCTAAACTGACGGCGTCTAAACTCTGCTTGTACCTCCGGAGGAAGTTCATGAGGAATTTTCTTGCTTCCATATTTGGCCAATTCCTCTGGTGGTATTTCTGGCAATCGTTTCCTGCATGTTTGTGATTCTGAAAGCTGTTGGCTGTTTGCTGATGAAGTGCTCAATGATGTAGCCTCTGCCATTGCTTGCTTGTTTAAATGTCAAAAAGGCTGTTTAGGGACCACAAAAATTATATATTATGTTATTACTTGCATTCAAAAATATGTTATTGAAGAAATAAAAAATGCGAGTGTGCTGTGTGCAGTTATAAAGCAGGCGAGGATTAGCAGAACACGAAAGAAGTGTTACACTTCTCGAGTGTTCCGCCAATCTCCAAGTGCTTTATAACTGCACCCAGCACAGCAAGCAAGTTTTTTATTTCTTTTATAAAATACAAGGGCACGTGCGTGCTGTGTGCTCTCATAAAGCACATGCTCCCAACCAATCAGGATGCAAGATTTGTAACAGTTATTTTATAAGTACTATTGGGAGAATGAGTAAGATATACCTCTTTTCCTTGGGCAAATGTTTTCATATTTCAGACCATGTGTCATTCTCTAGAGTACCATTTCTTTGCTTAGTACTTTTGCAACTCAATCAATAACAAGAGAATTAGATGTGGTCTGAAATGCGAAAAGGTCTATTCGTTCATCAATCTATCCTTACATTATACATTCATTTATTCATCCATCCATGTCCATTCATCCATTCATTCACCAATCCATTCATCCCTTCCATCCTTTCCTCCCTCCCTCCCTCCCTCCCTTCCTCCCTCTCTCCCTCCATTCATTCATCCATCCATCTATCTATTCATTCTTTTTTACATTTATATATCCATCCATCCATTCTTGCACTTATTCACCCATCCATCCATTCATTCATTGATACAAAAAGAAACATATAAACACAAAAAAACCATCATAATATCCTGAAATAAATATTATTATTATTATATATACATATTATATTATTAAATAATATTTTTTGGTTATTGTAAAGAGAGATGCAAAAAGATTCCTCATCTACCTATTAAAAATAATATATTAAACCATTATATTGCCAGCAGAAAAATATCAAAAATTACATGTTTTTTTAAATCCTAAGGTGAAAGCAGTTTTCAGTTCAAAGTCTAAATAGATCAACTTTCTTTCCTGAGGCAGAAAATTAATTTAGATGTAAAACAGCTATTTTTTAATAGCAAAACAAAAAATATAAACAGAAGTGACTGCACAAATTAATGAAGTAAGGAAAGAAAGAATAATGGCAGCGTAGCACTTAATGAAGATACCATTTTGCTAGTTCTTAAAAATGAAAACAATGTAGTTTATTATTAAACAGAAAAGCATTACACGGTTATAAAGTGTTTTTCCTTCTAAATTCTAAATGAACACAATCCTTATAAATATCACAAACTGTTTATACCACGTATTTTGAGAGAATAAACTATAGTGAGATTTAATTCGACTTCTATTTGAAATAAATACATAAAATTAAGATTCGTTTAAACAGACAGCTAACTGATTTTAAGCTATTCGTTTTGCCGAATTTATGTTTTGTTTTGAATGGGGAGAATAAGATAAAGTTTTATTGAACTTAAGTTGAGATAAAATGTACACTCAATGTGTATATATTATACGTGTACAAATGTAACACGCATTAAGTGAAAAATAACTCGTTTTCCCCCTTATAACTTTAACGATATATACGTAGTTGAATTATTAAAACCATAGCAGTGTTTTTAAATCAATACAACTACAGTCGAGTTAACATACTCACATTAGAAAATAGATGTTGAATGTTGAAGGACTTTTGTCAGACCAAACGAATGAATTCACCAGAATATGCAATCACAAAGTGGTTTCTATCGATAAACCATGATTAAAACTTTTTAGATGGTATTTTTGATGAGTTAAATGGGCAAAATACGGCTAATAGTCTTTGTAGCCCCAGCGAAGTCCGGATGTGATTTGATCCATCGAGCCTAACAGATGTCGATATGTAAACACTTTTGGAAAAGCATTTTTCCTGTGAACTTTTATCACTCTGGAAACAGCCTCCGGTATTGTCAAACTCTTAATCCTTCCACCAAAACATGAGAATTTTCGCTTCATTTTCAAGAACGTATCCCTCTTTGACAGGACCAGAGCTCTTTCGGCCTTGGAACCAAATTTTTTTTACAAGAAGTTTCCTTTTCTTGTACAGTAGGTCGTGAGTCAGAAACCAAAAATATCATGTCATAAAATACATATTATGACAGAATAATAATTTATCTCGAGCTCTTCGTCGTTGGAAATTCTCGAAAACACAATTCCTAAGAGCTCGTTTTGTTTCAGTTCTTGTACCAATATCCATTTTTGTTACCAAAATGAGTCAAAAATATAAGAAAAATAACTGATTTTTTCCCCTTTTTTCCCTTTAAAATGCAAATTTAGACAGGCGTTCTTCGTTATCCCCTCGCAATGCTTCATGGGAGATAAGTGGTTTTAAAAAATCCACGTTGAAAATTGTTTTTTATTTTATATTTATTTTAGATATTTTTTATAACTTAATCATATATAAATCAATAAAAATAAATTATAAAGATAAGACAAAATATTGTCTCGAAATTTGTAATTATTAGTTGTCGGGCTTCCTTTATATTCTTGTTCAGACCCTCTCGGTTTTACTAGGAACGCCTGTTTTACATTGCATGACTCAACAAAACTTCCTCAAGTTGTAAACAATAGAATGTCCATAGAATCCATAACTTTTCTCCAAGATCTTGTCGAATTTTCTACTTTTTATTCAGTTATAACATTTTGAATATCTAGTGCTATTGATTTTACAACAAGTTATGGCTACAAATGCTGTAAAATTGTACATTTATGAGTTGTCAAATGGACTCGCTCGTCAAATGTCGCCTCTTTTACTTGGTATGTAATTTATGATCATTTTTCATTCTAAAAATATATGTTAAAAAATATTCTTTGATTGTAACAGATATCCTCTATATAATATAGAAAAATTAAACTTATTTTAGTTGTTTTTTTATCCTATATTTTGCGACATAAATTTAACTAAAACTTAACAACATTAAGGTTCTATAAATATTTCCTTGCAATTGTTTTTTCTTTGATAATAATTTTGATGTCTTTGACGTTTGTAGGGAAGCAGATTGATGGTATTTGGTAAGTTAAATGACTCTAAAGTTATAAAATACACTTTTTGTATTAAAAAAACATTTGATATTAAATATATTCAAAATCTCACACCAACCAATAGGTATATGTATGTATGACATAGGTATATACAAAAATCTTTTTTTTGCAGGCATACTGGAGTGGTATGTTTTGGCCATGAGTTTTTCTTTGGTGGAGGTGGAATAGAGTACTGCCGACCAGTAAGTTATTTAGGATTAGGATTTTATTTAATTTTTTTTGTTTGGCAATTAGCACAGGAAGACAAGAGTGTATCCACAAGGCACTTACAATAGACTACTTTGATGATAACTTTGACAATATGGTGGCAATCTTGGATTGCAAGGTATTATGCGGTGTCCAGGCGGGCAAAACAAAACAAAGATGGCAGATAATATGTAGATGTAATTTCTGTGTCTTTCTTTCATAAAAAAAGGTGATGGATGTGAGTGGTGATAATATACTTTGTACCATCAAACATCAAATATCATATTAGATCTATATTTGCCCCTTGGATATTTTACCCCATAATGCCTTATGATTCAAGATGGCCATTGCATCGTCAAAGCAGTCTATTAAGGCATCACCCACATCCTCATTAAAATACTATGTGATTATAAATAAATTTATCATTTGATTCTGCAAAGAACGTGCGTAATATGGAAAAGACCATGCTTGATATGAGACTTATAGTACTTCTCATCTGCTCGCACTGGGTATGATAAGGTTTAGAGAGATTTTGAGCATTTCTTTGCAAAATTAAATGATAAACAACTTATCAAACAGCTAAGCATCTGATACGGCTATGCATTTTTACTCATCACTTGTTTTGGCTCGCCTAATTTTTGGCAAAATACTCCGCGACTACACAGCCGTATCAGATGCTTAGCCGACTGATATTACCTCTATAGCATAAATGATATGTAATAATAAATAATAAGTAGCTAATACTAAATATTTATTCAAAACAATTCATGTTTTGAGTTTTACAGAAGGATGACAACCAGATTGTTGACTACTGCAAATAAATTAATTTGTTTATATGCATAGGGAGGTACGATTCTTGGCCAACCAGATGAAGTCATCAACCTTGGTGACACCCACATCCCAGAAGATGTGTTTATGGAATATCTTAGAGGACTTGGAGCAGATGCATTTAGGTAACATAATAGCAGTATATGATAGACATTATTCAGTGCTAGACTTAATGAAACATCAAGCTAGTTCGTGGTTTGCACCTCCATGATTTCATTATTTCACCGCAGTTCTATCCATTCAATATTCACACTTATTACATATGGTGGCTTGATGAACCCAACAAAAATGACCGGTCACCAACAGGATTGGCTTCATAGCTCAGTTGGTAGAGCATCGCACAGGCATCGCGGAGGTCATGGGTTTGATTCCCATTGAAGCCTGAAATAATTTTTTCAGGTCTTTCTTTACAGCGTTCGCTTAGATTGCTCATTCACTGTGATGATCAACACATCTATCACTTCCGTGATAATGGTATAACACTATATATAGATCAGCTGTTTTCTCATTCACTGACTAGGATTTCAATGAATGTCAATCAAAGAATTGCAATAAAAAACAATATGTTAAGGGAGATTTTGGACTGTATTAAAGACTTTTATTAATCCTCTAATTCTCTAACATCAGTTAAAAATATCCCAAAAGGTTTTTTTGCAGTTCTTTGAATGACGGTCATCAAAATGCTAGTCTGCACTGAGACATCGAATTTGATCTTTTTAAAGGTTTCAAGAAAAAGACATTTAAATGATGGCACTGTAATAGATGGAGATAATAGCATTATTTTTTTCCACAGAGCTGACAAATACCATCTTTTTGAGCACAACTGTAACAAATTTTCCAATGAAGTAACTATGTTTCTTACTGGAAGGAAAATACCCAAACACATCCATGATCTGCCCAACGATATACTGAACAGGTAAGACAAACGATGTGTAGTTCCAAAAATTATCCATACCCCCC